GAGGCAGAACTCATAATCATGAGTGTGTTTAACAGCGGTGTGACAGGCGGATGCTGCTTCACTGTAAGTAAAGCACATGTAAATAAGCGGGCTGAATTATTCAAGACGGGAGACTGGCTCGCTCGTGCTGGCTCACCCTCACACACTCAGATCCAGACATGCTGGGATAATCTCAGGAAAAAATGCCTTTGCTTGTCAAGGTGCAAACAGTCCAAGACGGAGCCAAGCAGGAGTGCTTATCATGCAGCGGGCGTAGTGAACTCACGTGATGTGCCTGCAGATTCAGGAGTTTGGTGAAGTTGTGAAGAGGCACATGTGGCTTCCACAAGGCTCAGGGGAGATGTCGGGGATGTGTACGGGATGACAGAAGAGTTTTGTGCTGCATATGACCAGATGGGGATGAAAGAAGAAAATAAAAAAATAAATAAACATATTTCTTGCAACTTTATTTTACAGCAGACTTTTCCTGCTTTTTTCCCAACTTGATATTCTTGGACTGTACTGGAGTAGCTTTGCTTTCATATACTGGGTTTCGTTGGCTCCCTTTAAGCCAACTTCGCTATGATTGGCTGCCTTTCATAAACAGATGGTTTGAACAGCAGTTGGGTGGGGCTTATGAGCTCATAGCCAGAGCTGCGTGCCTGAGATGACCATATTAGGGATTTCCATACTCACTGACATCCTAGAGATCCAAGAAAAAGTATTTGGAGCAGTCTGAAGACAAGGATTACTTGTACATACCCCGACAACATTAGTATTAATATTATTATGACATTCAAGTTTGTCTTATATATAAGAAAATGAGCAGTAGGACCACTTTAATCAAAAATTTCAGGCTTTAATATTTGATTAACATGGACAATGTGACACTAACACATGTACAGCATCTCTCAGGAACATGCGTCCAAGTGCACACCTATCTGTGATTCTTCCCCCCCCCCCATATTTCACGTCTTGATCATAATTTACTCTTCAGGTAAAGGTCAATGTCTCTCTACAGTTTATTTCAGTGATAGACGCGGCACAGTCACTCTTTTTGCTGGCAGTTTTGTCTGCAGCCCTTTCCATATGATGGCTTTTTTGCAGCTTTCCCAAAGTAGCATTTGCTGCCATTCTTTGTCTTATTTAAACATTTTCGTTAGATGTTTTATCAACCAAATAATCAGCAGTTCAAATTCCTGCTATTTCATTATTTGCTGAGTGAAGTTGATAAGTCGAAATGTTTGCTTTGTTTGGTTTATAATGTCTTCTTTATGTTTCTAAAGCCCAAACTGGCATCATTAAATGCCATTATGATAATAGAAAACATCTAAAAAAAATGCTTACAAGCTGTAAAGGAAGGCGTATAATTACATGCACAAGGCAAGAAGGTGAAAGGCTCCTGTAAAGCGCTGCCAATAACAAGAGGAATGCCTGGACGCAGACTTTAAACCACAAATCTATTTGCACAGACAACTTTCAGATGTGAGCCAGATTTTCCTCAGGCAAACAAAGGCATTTGTGGTTTGGAGTCTGTTAGCAGTGGTGTCCCTTTATTGAGATAGCTCACACAGCAAATAACTACACTCTAATAAGGGACAATATTGTTAAGGGTTTGTGACTAACACATAGCTTTATTAGGAATCAATCGTTTCATCATTCTACTCATGCCAGATCAATTATAACACATTAGTGCAGTTGCACTCTGAAGGTCTAAAATGGACTATGTAACCTCTGGAATAACACGTGGAGAGAATCTGTATCAAAACCAATCTGTTAATATCTCTTTGGTGTTCCTGCAGCTTAAGGCGTGTTAGATTTTTAAGCCTTTTTAATATCTTTTTGTTTTCTAAGAAAAGCTGAAGGGAAAAAAAACAAGATTAGGTAATGTAAGAGTTGCTTGGGTTTTGTGGTTTGGCTGAGGCTGTTTGTGAACATTGAAGCGACACATCCAAGATAGCTGATCTGAGATCTTCAGGGCTTAAACAAAGTTGCTGATTCCCAATGTGGCGAGTTTTGCACACTTGTTGCACAAAATCCACAGCGCCTCATATACATTGCCTGTTTTCAACCAAACCACAAAACCCTGCGATATTGATTGCATCTGCAGTTCCCTGTGACATTGCTGACAAGCAGCCAGTGCACCTGACCTGAGCTTCCCTGCAGTAAAACAAGCTATAATTGTTGCTGGCTGTGCTTCTGATCTGCCTAACTTAAATCTGAGAGTCATTCGGTTTTGATGTATTTAGTTTATGTGTTACCAATTAACTGAATGTGAGAAAAAAAGAGAGTCATAAAAACTGCCCATGTTTCAACGTGTTCAAGGGATTTGAACTGTAAGTGTAAGACGTGTCAATACCAATCACGGTCTGTTTTGTGCATTTTTTTCATTAATCTGAGGGAACCGTGTTGTCAATAACGGTAAATAAAACCCAAGAATATTTAACGATTAAAGCTTTTGTGTGTGTGTGTGGGGGGGGGGGGGGGGGGGGGGGGGGGGGGTAGATTTAAAGTAGCTAAAAATGAAAGAAAATGAAAGAATATTTATATAAGTGGTTCTCCATAATCAAATCATGGAGAACCACGAGGCCAATTACAGCCTGACTCAACGCGTAACTCAACATCAACCGAAACCTCTCTAAGTGAAAGCATGTCCTCATACCTTACTTGCTTACTACCCACAGCCAACAAACTGCTGTTTTCACAACCCCAGCCTGCTGATGAGGCCGATCTTCCTGATTAAGCCTCATTTAAGAGACATGTGGGAATCAGGGCGGGTAGTTTGGTGAGATTAGAGGCACATTCATTTCGCTCTGTCACATTACCACAATAAACATCTGCAATAACAAATGTGTGAGAACCTGCGAGCTAAACCACAGGGAGGGCAAAGAAAACACACCGTCAGCTGTGATGAAGCAGCACCTGGCTGTTAAAACATGCCTCTTTCTTCCACTCGCACATGTGATCAGTCAAAACATGTTCGACATTAATCGCCCCGAGGAATCGCGTAAATATGCCTGACAAGTTGGAAGGCTGTCTCGAAGAAAAGCGAGCAGGAGGACTCTTTACTGACCACCAGCGGGAGCAACGCGAGAAGCAACGTGAAGCACCGGGGGAAGGTTGATCTCATGGTTGTCGGGCATTCGGTGCTTTCTAGTAAATGAGCTAGGGGAGCTTTGCTCAACAGAAACTTGTACCTAATGCTGCTTTTCTGGCTGTGTGAAGTGTGTCTTAGTGATGGAGATTTCGAGGCTATTTTAATATATTTATATAAATTCTTAATTTATTGAGCAAGAGGAAAAATAACACAATATTGGGTTACCCCAATCTAAAGATGAAAACAGAGGAAAAAAATAACAACAACAAAAGGAAGTTAGAAGATTTTAAATAAAATATGTGCCTATAAAAATGTGGATTTATAAGTAATGTGTTTTTTGAGAAAATGTCTTTAAAAATTTAAGAAGTAGTGTCCTTACAAAAACATACAAAAGGCTATATTTTCAGAAAATCATCGTCTTTTTGCCAGATCTTTTGAAACTAATAAAAAATGCAGGGGCCGTTTAAGGACCATCCACTCCGGCTTTTGTTTTCTGTTAGGGGAAGGTATTAGCAAACAGATCTGTGAATAATCAAATTACTGCAGAGTAAATGCCACACAGACCCACAGGAGCCGGGTCCCCAAAGCCCCTGAGACTGCAGCATTCATAGGCTCATCACAGGTACTGTACAGACTAATTCAACTCCAGAGATATCGAAACCACTCTGCAGTTACTAAAAATTTACCATTTGTGATGAGTGTGTATAAAAAGGTTTAAAATAAAAATTCTTTTATTTTTATTTGAAGTCCTTTTTCTGAAACAAAACTAAAACTCAGTCCTGGTGAGGTAGGACATTTTCTGTATGGTGTTTTATTGTGTTAGTTTTTGTTGAATGTCTTTCTTAATTATGACATTTTCATGTGACCTGGCATGGAACCACAGACGTAGATTAGCAGTTCTGCTTTAATCTGGCATTACATTACATTACATCTTCTATTCTTTTGTATTTTTATGTACATAAATGTGTGTTGTCCCTGGTGAAACAATAATATGTACTTACAAAACACACTAAGGTCAGTTTGGAACATTTTCTGAGCACAACTTGACAGATGGATTTTGCTACGTTTGTTTATGGAGTCATGGGTCGTCTACATGCTGTAAGTGTGCTGCCAGCACAAAGTGTCCTATCAGTTAATTTTAGAATTTGGTATTTATAGTTTGGTATTGATTTCTGTTTCGTTTCTGTTTTCAAATCAGTTGAGTTCCAAGTAATTCCCAGAGTTGAGTTCCAGTTCAGTAAAAAAAAAAAAAAAATGTCTGAAATGTTTTCATTTTCACTTAATATTATATATATATATATATATTATATATATATATATATATTATTATATATATTATATATATATATATAATATATATATATATATAGTTATATATATATTATCATATGATTTCAATAAATTCAATTTTTTTTAATTTTTTTTTAATTATTATTTTTTTTTTTTAACTTTGAAATTCCTATTACTTTTTTAAACTATAGGTTTTATTTTTATTACCATTTATGTGTTAATGTTTTTTTCCACACCCAGTTTTTAGTTCACTTTTAGTTATCTGTCTGCTCAGAACTCCTTTGAATCTTGGCTTCCACATTAGAATAATTTAAGGAGAAAAAAAGTCTGAAAGCTACGCTGATATTAATGAGAAAAAGCAAAAACTGAAGGATTTAAACAATAAAAGTAAAAGTAAAAGAGCAAATGTATTTTGAAAGTGAAAACATAAACTCAGAATACAACATTATAACCACTATGACTCATTCAAATCCCCCTGTTTGTAAAATAATCCAATACAAAGTATTTAACTACAGCTCGTTACTGTAACGCTCGATCTCGCTGTCTATTGGCTGCAAATGCCGCGGTCGTTACATATCAACCAACAAATTAAAGCGATTCTCCTTTCACTAGATTTTCAGAGAAAGAGAGAGGGAGTGAGAGAGGTTGAAAGGTAGGTTTCGCGCTGCATCCTGGGTACATAGCTCCACTGTGATGCAGTGAGCTTGTTGTGTTGACTGGACACCAAAGTAAAGTGAAACGGGAGCGGGTCGGCTCCGAGGGGCTCTCCGAGCGAGTTACGATGCGTCTTTCACGGTGTTGAACGGTCGCGGTGAGCCATGAGCCAACTTCGCCGGTCGCCTCGAAGCGGAATGAGCCACTGTTGAGCCCCGAAAACGATTCCTTCTCGGAGGGGGGAAAGCAAAAATGAAGAAGCCGAGCGCCCTGCTCCCCGTTGCCGGCTTGACTGGGAAATGGTAGCGTGCTGTAGGGATCGCACTGGGAAGGATCATGGTCGAGAGGAGCAGCAAATTCTTGTTGATCGTCGTCGGATCCGTGTGTTTTATGCTGATTCTCTATCAGTACGTGGCCCCCGGGGTGATCAATTTCGGCTCCCCGCACGGTTATTTCACGGAAGAAGACGAGGGGGACATCTTCCCCACTCCGGACCCCCACTACGTTAAGAAATACTACTTCCCCGTTAGGAACCTGGAGAGGACGATTGATTTCCAAATTAAAGGGGAGGACGTGATCGTGTTTTTGCACATCCAGAAGACCGGGGGGACTACCTTCGGTAGGCACCTGGTGCAGAATGTCCGTCTGGAGGTCCCCTGCGACTGCAGACCGGGCCAGAAGAAGTGTACCTGCTACCGGCCGAACCGCAAGGAGACCTGGCTGTTCTCTCGGTTCTCCACCGGCTGGAGCTGCGGTTTGCACGCAGACTGGACGGAGCTCACCAACTGTGTGCCGGGGGTCCTCAACAAGAAGGAGAACAAGCAGAAATCCCTGAGGTGAGACTGGAAGGTGTTTGGTGTAGTCAGGCTACTGTAGACTATGGAAAAGACACAAAGTGTGGTTTAGGTTCTAATCCCCCAAACTGCGGAGGATTTTGTTTGTCTGAAACTTTAGAGCTCTTCTCCACTGGAGGTACAATAAGGTCACTGAAAGCTCGTAAAAACTTACAGTTGATAAATAAACTTATGTCACTCAGTCAAACTGCCTTTCAGTTCTTAGCAGCTTCTTTCTGTTCATGACATATTTTACCTCATCCCCCTGGAGACATTTTAAAAGGCATAATAGTCACTGGTTTAAAGATCATCTCTCTTCTCATAAAAATATCAAAAGTCCACCTGGAGCAGGTTTTTTTTTTTCTTTTTTAATCACAGGATTGTTATTGTGATCCCAGAGAAGATAAAGCACAACAGAGGGTAATATAAAGGTGTTATAGTCTCATAAACGAATGTAACAAACGCATGAAAATCCCCACAGCTTCTTCACGGTTGTGTTGTTCTGTATGGGACAGCATTACCATATAATTTTCATAAAGTCATCTATCTGTAGGTCGAGAATAGATGCTGAGAGGCAAATGTTGATTGACATTTCAACACTACACTGTCACGAAATGCCACAGGAGCTCAGCAGCATCTCTGACAATTGTTGATCGGTGCCAATATCAGGGTGCCCTCCCACTGAATCGTACACTGAGATTTGGCTGAATTTATTTCAGGAGGGCTGTAATACATCCAGGCAACATTTCCGCTCAGTAATAATCCCTCGCTTTGACTGCGAGGTACCCAGACACAATGCGCATCTTATTAAGTTATAACCCATTTCTTCTCCACGCCTTCCCCATTGTTGTTGCCCACATATTGCATCCCTCACCCAGACATATTGACGGCTGTATCAACTTCCATTTCACTGCACCCCTGTGGTTAAAGGGTACGCTTGTTGAATGGGTTATGTGTCTTTGTGTTGTCTGAGCTTGTTCAATATTTTATTTTGGCTATGGATGATCAATAGGACAAAGAGGGATTAGAAATTGTGGAAATTTGTCTGTCTGGCAGCCAGGCGTGGTGGAGATGTCAGGCCGGCTGCTCTGCTTCCCATGGCTGCTCAGACTGGGGGATCAGTGCTGCAGGCTGGGCTGGGCTTGGCTGGTAGAGGGGGAGGGAGATCGGGGGACCCTGCGGGGGTTTGGCTCCGCTCTAATCCGGGTGATTATTACCACTGGGACGCGCATACACACATACACATACACACACTAGCAGTGGTATTTGCTACTGGCGTCTGTCCTGACTCCTGTGGTTTCCCTGGGGCAGAGGTGATAACGTGTTCGGGCATTCTGCATGGAGGGCTGAGATATCACCGTGGATGCAGGATAAACTGCCTTTCATCACTTTGTGAACAGTTTCTGAGCCCGCGCGCACCTGAAGAGGCCACAGGAAAAGAACGAGACAAGAAGGCAGAGAAGATGAGAGTAAATATGCACGGGTGAGAGCACAGATGACAGACGATCGCTTGGCCCGGGTGTAATCGACTGTCTGAGCACTCGGGGCAGGAAAAACAAGGCACTGCAAGGGTAAAAACGCCCTAAAGGAAACCGTGCCGCTCCGAGCTGTGTACAGCGCAACTTTCACAAAGAAGAGAAGTGAATAACTGCAAAGAAACAAGAAGCGCTCTCTGTTTCTCTCTCTGTCACGGCTCTGTTTGTTCCTTTTTCTCCCTCATTGCCTCTTTTTCTGGCCTCTGTCCTCATTGTTCGGTCCTCTTGTGCCACTCTTATAATGCTGGGAGCATTTATCTTGAGGGCATTGTCGTGCAAAGGCGAGTTAAAGCGTGAATTTAAAGGTGTCAGTGTGGCATTTCTCGGTGTCCCCCCAACCCGCAGCTTTCCGATCAACTGCGTATATTCGTAGGGCGTTTATGTTTGAGGAAGTGGGTTTGAGTGAATCTATGTCTGTGTGAAACGGAAAATGATTATTTAAAACAGACCTATGTAGCAGGAGCAGTTGTTGTGCTGACAGATCCAGCATCCCTCTCTCCACAGCTGTGCGCTCATACAGCTGTCGAGTGGATTTTACACAAACGTCTCAAATGCTGCAAAAATAAAATGTGAATTAGGACCATTTCCATCAGCTGGATTGAGGCACATAAATACACCACCTGGCTGTCAACGAAAATATATATCTGCAGGAAAACCTGAATAAAGTCCAGACAAACAAACATATTTAAGATTTAGTGGACAAGTCACTAAAGATGGCCACCACTACTACTACTGTAAGGGTATGTGAATACATCCCAAACTCATTCAGTTTGGCTTTGCTTGGTATGCTGTGCTCTATATGATATGGATATTTCCTGAGTTTTAATGTAAGCCAAACATCTATTTCATGTCTATGTCTTTATGTTCACACGCCCTTAATGAAAATCGATGAGCTTTCTCCCACAGTGTTTTGGCAGCACACCAGTCCTTTTCATCAGTGTAGCAGGCTACCAGGGTTAGCCTTGCAGTGTTTCCCCGAGGTTAACTGTCTCCAGAAGTGGATGGGAGGGTTGAGGAAGCTTATCGGTGGGGTTGCAGCTGTAATGACATCAGCAGGCGAGCCACCAGGGTCGTGGTCAGGATTGGCTTCTCTACCAGCAGAGCTTCTTGCAGCGTTGTCTCTTGCTATTAGCTTCATGTGGGATGCATATTAAGAAATAATAATGATGACTAGGAGATTTTAGGGCTGACTTTCGGACGCTGGGGATTGTCTTTGGGTTTAAGTGGAGCTAAAGTGTTTTAAAGCTTTTACTCGTCGCTCAGTCACATGGTGAAACAGAGAGCAGAGGAGAGAAATGACAGTAAAACAGAGCAGATGCACACACTGAGCTGGAGTGAAATTAAGACTCATATAATATGTAATTATCATTAATGAAATGTTTCATTCTTACATTGTTTTAATTTTTTGATTATATTTTATCCCATTTTAATTGATTTATGCTTTGATGCAGTGATTCCCAAATTGCGGGCAGGGCCCCCTGGTGGGCCACAAAAGTATTGCATGTGGGGCAAATTACTAATAGAAGATCAGTTTGAGATTACTCAAGTATGTACAGTTCCATATTTATTTAAATTTGTGTATTGATGTCAAATGTTAATTAAAACTGGTAATATGGGTTGGTTAGTCTGTGGTAGTACTCATTACTGCTTTTGTATTGAAGTTTGTGTCAAAGTGGCAAGTGGGTCACTCACTGGGCTCAGCAGTTTGCATATGACTTGGTAGCATTAGCAATTTATAGCCAAGAGCCTGTTTCTGTTTGTTTGTTTTAAATAAAAATTTCAAGGAAACTCCTCACAATCACAGATTGGGTGGGTTCCATGGGATTTTTCAGGTTTTTAAGTAGGCTGTAGGACTCTTGACTTTGGGAACTTCTTTAACGTGATGATGAAATCAAAGAACTTTGTCTTTGCTTGTTTCGTTCTGCTGATTAAGCATACCAGCAAAAAACCAAAAAATACTTTCAAGCCTTTTGTGAAAGAAGTATCAATATGTTTTTGTCCAAACAAGTGCATCCATTAATAAAATTCTGCGATATTTGACAGTTGCCTAATTTATTAACTGTTTCTAATTATGTTTATATGGGGGCATGTTGCCCTTTTAATAAGAGCTAGAGAGCATCATAATTACCCTTATGAGATTTCCAAAACATTTGTGGATTTGGGAGCTGTTTTGTATTGATGCTGTAACACTTTCCAAGCCCAGTTGTTATGGCTGGATTAGTTATTGATTGAACAGATGAGTCTGTTGCACCATTTCTTCTGAATATTTCCACTTGAAGAGAGCGTAACAGCAGCTTTAAAAACGCTGAAGAAAGTAGATAAAGTATGGTTTCTTTTTTTTTTTCTTTTAAATACAGGGAATCCTAATTTTTTATTTATTTTTTATTTTTTTTGAAGAAAATAAAACAGTTGATTGGACATAGTTTGGTGTGGAGATAAATGTGGCAGCTTCAGAGCAAAGCGCATTAAAAGGAGCAAGCAGCGGCGTGATGAATAGTTGGTAATGGGGGAGACAGGTCTGGCTTTGATTGGTGATTAGATGAGATCGATATGAACAGTGGCATTGTGGGAGAAAGTAACTCACTTACTCAGCAGAGCGCCACTGAGAGTGGATTTGTCATCTTCCCACTCCTTATACCAGTTTTAATGTTCCCCACTGATCCCATGGGACACACTATCTCGCGCTCACACACGTCCACTAATAAGTGTGTGAAACAAACAGTCAAATGCAATGCTTAAGATATGGCGCTTCTAATTGGTTAAGGAGGTTCCTATCACTTTACTCAAATTAAAGCACCACTTTCAAATGGGGGAAACCATCTGTCCTCTGGAAGTGTGTGTGTGTGTGTGTGTGTGTGTGTGTGTGTGTGTGTGTGTGTGTGTGTGTGCACACCTCATGACTGTGTGTGCCTGTTTTTCTTTCCTTTTTTAATCCTGGCATGTCAAAGAGTGTCTTAGTAAGCAAAGTGATGGGGCTAATTTTACTGCCTTAGTCTCAGTCCTCTTTCAAATCACTCCCTGTTTCTTTCTCCCCCACCTCCTCTTCAGCCCCCCTTGGCTTGTCTCTAAAACACTTTCCCTCCCTCCCTCTCCTTCCATCCTTTCCTCCCTCCTTCCGTCCACATGACGGTGTCACTCTAATCAAACAGCAGGCTTGCTTTCTGCTTGGTGGCTTTATGGCTGGGGGCTCTCTTGCTGTCTCTCTTTCACTTTTCCATCCATCTCGGGCCCGTTGTCTTTCTTTCCTTCCTTTGCCATCGTTCTCTCGCTCTCCCCCCGAGCGTGACTACTGCATTAGAGGAAATGTCTTTTCATGGAAGATTTGCTGCAATTTCCAAAATGGCTGCTTTGCCTAATGGACAACTGCCTTGGTTCTAATGAATGATTACATGTATGAGGGAGGGGAGGGGACGATGGCAGGGGGGGAACAGAAGAAGAGATGGCGGCGATGAAGAGCAATATGAGGAA